CCCTGGCGCACCGTCCCCCAGTGCAACGCCAAAAGTGGGGCTGGGCATCTCACGGCCCACGGAAAGGCAGGTAGGAGTGGATGGGCTGGAGACCACCCTGCCTGTAAGGTCCTTTTCCCCCTGCCAGGGCTGACCCCTGAGCTCCCAGCCAGTAGGAGAGCCGTGGTGCAAAGGCAGAGTGTGGGGAGGTGAAGGATGCTAAAAGCAGCTTGAGACACAAAAGCCAGCGCTGACCGCTGGAAGGGAACAGCCAGGAGCTGAAGGACCACAGCTCTGCACAGCCCCCGGTCACCCCCACCCACGGTGGGCAGCGCCTGGGTGCCCTCACCCTTCTCCATGTACTCGGTGATGATGTAGATGGGCTCCTTCGTCACCACGGCATAAAGCCGCACCAGCCGCGGGTGCTGCAGGTTCTTCATGAGGTTGGCCTCCGCCAGGAAGGCACTGGGTGACATGCTGCCTTGCTTCAGGTTCTTGATGGCCACCTTGGTGTGGCCGTTGTAGAAGCCTGTGGAGAGATGGGGCAGAGAGTCACAGGGCAGAGGGACCCCATCACCGGGCATGGCCGAGGGACGTGTGGCAGCAGCAGTGCCGGCCAAGGAGGCAAGTGTGGGGGCTACTCTGTAGATCTAGAGCGTCCCAACCCAAGACTGCACAAGCAAGAGATGTTGGGGATTGCAAAGGTTGGCTGAAGACAGGGCAGAGGACCCTTGTGCCCTGGAGGACTGTTGCAGCCGGGCCAGAGGACTCTTGGGGACAATCACAGCTCTGTGCTGGCCAACTCCTGGGCAAAAATCTGTAGCTATGTTTTAACACCCCAGGCAGTTATTTTTATGTGTGGTTTTCAGTCACCAGAAGGAAAGGAAGCTGTTGTTTGCTGGACGATGAAAAGGAGGGGCGGCGGGGGGAGCAGGGCAGCGATGCCGAAGCCTGGCTCCTGCCAAGTGCCCAGAGGGGACTTTGGGGGACAGCCGCTACCCGTGGGATGAAGGGAGGGACCCCACTGCGGGGCAGGAGAGAGGGGAGCAGGGCAGCCCCAGTGCTTTCCGCACCGCAGCACCCGGGGAGCAGGAGGCGTTTTTGTGGCCGGGTCACAGCCCCTTCGAGGCCCCGTGCACCCTCCGAGCCCCCCAACTGCTCCCAGTGTCACAGCAACAGCCACAACAAGGACCGTTTCCCGTACGGGGCCACGCACGGTGCTCACGGGCCCCATGGCAAAGCCGTCAGCTGCTCTCATGGCAAGCGGAGCCCAGCCCGATGAGGACACAGTGCAGCCCCCGTGCATGCACGAACTGGCACCGGTGCTCCCATCTCGGCAGCGGTGAAGGGATCTGGGTGGCCAGGGATGGGAGAAGCGGGAAGCTTGGGCTGCTCTGGGTAAACCAGAGCTGCCCCTGGGCTGCTCTAGCTGCTGGTTTTCTCCCTTCTTCCCGGGCCCTTGTAAAAAGACGAGGTCCCACGCTTGGGGCTGTGCTGCCTGCTCCATGCGAGACCCCGGCCAGACCCCCTCCCTGGCCTGAGGACACCGCAGGGCCCAGGTGATGCTGCCCACACTGGTGCCCTCATCCGGGAGGAAGCACCCCAGTTTCACCCTGACTCACCCATCCAGACTTCTCCAAATTGCCCGGCTCCCAGCTTCTCCACCAGCTTCAGGGACTCTCGCGGCACCTCCCACTCGTCCTGCCACCACGGTTTCTGCGGCTTCTGGGTCCGGCAGGGCTTGCCGAGGCGGGTGCACAGCCCGTCAGAGCTGCCTGCGGCGCAGGGGCAGGCAGAGCCCGCATCAGTGCAGGCCAAAGGCAG